TATATATATTATTGATTACTTTATTTGATTCATGTTAACAAGGTTAATAAGGTGGCACATTTTGCTTCTTGATCAGAGACTTTGATGATGGTAATCATTGTTACATCATGACTACTTATCAGTGACCCATCCTTGGCTTATATGGGTTGATAAGGCTAACTTAATGTGAGATCATCCAATCACTTTTAAATTGTCGAATACACAATTTGATACATATGATATTGATTAAATAATCAGTATGTTGGCATAATATTGAATAAAAATTAGAATATTTCCCTCAAAATAAATAAATAAAAATAATTTTTTTATTTTAGATATTTTAAATCTTAGAATTCTAAATAATTCTAGAGCTCTGATGTTACTTAAGTTTTAATAAGTCATTATGGTGTTTTTGGATTCTTGATCTATAATCAAACTTTAGGTCTTATGATCCCTTTTCTTCCACAAATGGAATGATTCCTTCCCTCTTCATCACATTACTATATAAGTAACTTACTAAGTTATATGCCAATATTTATTATCGGTACATCACTTTTGGTATTCGTATAAATGATAAAGAGAAACAAGAAGTTTGAATAAAGAATTTAATGGATTGCTATATTTGATTTGTGAACATATGTTGTATTATGATGTAAGGACTTCTAATAGAATATTGATGTCAATTCAAATGTCCTTGTTGTAAGACATAACTTTATAAATGGGAGTCAATGTTCCATTTTATACATGTTATAGTTAATGGCTCCATGATATATTACTAATAGTGAATAAGATTAAGAAAATAAAGTCTTATCAATTAATAATATGATCATAGTTTAGAATTTTTCTTATGCTCCAGCCTAACTTAATAACCTACTAAATTCTGATGGTTATATGGGCAAGGGTGTGATATTCAGTTTTTTTTTTAATTCTTCACTCCTATCAGAGAGATTATTCTTATAACCTTCCGTCACATGTTGAGCCCTAAGTCATATTGTCTATCCACTTCGTTTAAAAGAAAAACAATTGATATCGCCCACCAACTGCGCCATTCAAACTTCTTTAGTTTAGAAGTATGACTATCATTCTCACTATCATTAATCACAATTTTTTATTTATTTAAGTTCATATTTCCTTTTGTAGTGAACATTGCAACTACATCCATCACCTATCGCCTTTTTTTATTTATTTAGCATTACTTAATATAATAACAATCTTATCTAATTTTAGTTGCTTGTCAACCCATAGTCATTGATTCTTTACCTTACTTAAAATTGGGTCTATCTCAACATTTTTGTTTGCCAGCTACAACAATACCATTAGAATTCTTGAATTGCCACATCTATGAAAGATTTGATGTGATTACCATTGATTTTCATCATGATTGTCTTAGATGACAACATAGTAATTTTTAGGTCATGTAACTCCATCACAATAAACAAAATCATCATGACTAACCACCATAACTTTCAAAAATCTTTTTCGGCTTCTTCTTGTTATATTTAGGTCATGTCACCTGGGGCACGAGCACTATGACTATCTTCAGTTGTCAATATAACATTTTTTTTGCGTAAATGTGCTTGATATCTTCATATCATGTTATCTCTATCTCTAGAAGAAGGGTGATTTTGGCTCTTGATCTATCAATATGGTATTGTTCATCACTTTAAGCCATATTGTCTTTGCCTCCCAAAGAATAACTCTCTGATACTCAACCTAAACGCATCACAAATATCAAATATATCAACGATAACTCAATTTCATTTTTATTGTATTGACACCTTATCAAGTTTGAGCATGACAACGCTTTATAACTCATACCTATTATTAGTAGAAATTATTTTGTCTAAGTAATATATTATGAATTTTTTTCTCCTAAGCTTTTCATATAAAAGATTTTATATCACTTACTTCATTACTTTATATCTTTGATTATTTGCATGATTTTTATTCATAGCTTAGGTGCATGATCATATCCTCGCTCTCTATCAATACAACTTCATGCATATGACAATGAAACGCAGTTACAAAATATATTTATATTTATATTATTGTGTTACATACATGAATTCTTAAACTCATATAGCTTGGCAGCTAGTTTTATAGATTTATTTATTTATCCTTGGCAAAGAGTTATAAAACAAGAATTTAGCCTTAGTTTGTCTCACATTTCTCATGCTAAACTTTTGGAAAAAAATATTTTAATTTATTATAAAAAAAATGTTCTTGATAAATTCTTGTTTTGCACGCACAACTCACAATTCTTATGCATTTACATATCTACAGTGTGTGTGTGTGCGCGCGCCTGCCTCAAGTCGTGGCCTGTTGGTTGGCGGGGTTCGCTGTAAGTCATCTCAGGTCACGAGTTCGATCCCCCGTGGCGCGGGGTTCTCAAATAGTTACGTACATGGTGCAAACTCTCATCATAGGGCATCGATGCGCATGAGAAACCGATATTTGGGCCTCTGCCTAATATCGATTTACTTTTAATATGTATATATAAGGAATGACCGAAAGCTATTAATAGAGCCCCGGCCTTACACGCGAGGGGATTCTAACCCCAAATCAGAGAGACTTACACCGCCGAAGTAGTTGCTCTACCAACTGACTTGGGTGCGTATATATAAATAAATAAGAATTATATGGTATGTATATAAATTAATCCACTCTTAGACTTTACTCAAACTAACTCCAAATTAAATTAATGAAGTCGAGATGAAATTTCTCCATGGAATAGGTCCATTTTTCACCAATAATTGTTTAGTTTACATCATTTGTTTTTTTTTTAATCATTCACTAATTTTGACCAACATTAATTATAAACTCAAATGCATGCATATAATTAGTCCATAAACCTATGATTTATTGGTTGGAAGCCTAAGCTCCAAACTTTGATAATAATTTCATTTTTCTTTAGAAAATTTAAATATTGAATCACAAGTAATTCGTTGGGGAATTTAATTTCAAAATTTTGATAATAATTTTTAAGTTTTTATGAAATAATTTAATGGACATTTATTTAAGAATCATAAATTTATGGGATAAAATTGGGTGATATATAAACTATAGGATATTTTTTGTATTTAAATGTGTGTCATATAACGGTATAAGACCGCTCAGGTCGTTGGTTTGAATCCTCTTTGACACAGTTGGTCTTAAGAGATGATACTCGAATTGTTAGACACATTAGGGGTGGTCAGAGACTTGTATAATAGCCTCTGGCCATTCCTTTAATATACATACATACATACATACATACAATCTCTCTCTATATATATATATTTATTTATTTATAAAAGAATAGCCAAAAGCTATTATACGAGCCTCCAACCACCATTATGTGCTAGTTATTCGAGGACCGCCCTCACTACCTGCAAATTGGCCAGAGGGAGATTCAAACCCATGACCCGAGGGGACTTACGACACTCAAAGAGACTGCACTACCAACAGACCACACAACCGGCGGCATCCATTCCTTTAATACACACACACACACACAAATTATAATAAAAAAAAAGCATTTACATACATACCACCCAATTCTTATGTATTTACGTCTTATGTCAATTCTTATGTATTTACGTATCTAACACCTAAACTTTAATTTTTACATTTATACCACTCAAATCTTTCATGTCTCATAAAGAAAAAAATCTGCCATTTAACTTTTAGAAACTGAAATACACAATTTTATGCTTAGGGAAGGTGGCATGCATGTAAATATTGAAGTTAAAGCGTTAAATATGTAAATACATAAGAATTGAGTGGTATGTATGTAAATTTTCTTAAAAAAAGGTATGCTTTACATTCCATATGATCTAATTAATAAAATGAATAGTTTTGATTTTTTTATTTGAAG